TCTTCCCGTGTTTTGGAGGATGCGTGTGGTGGTTGGATGTTGTTTTTAATTTCGATTTGAAGTTTCCCCGGCGGTTGGATCCTTATCCTCCTCGTATGTCTTGACTCTGCCTCCCTTTTCTGATTCTTCTCCTCCTTTTTTCTCCTTCTTCTTTCCTCTTCGGTGCCCCTCGTCCCTGTAATCTTCGTCATCAATATTCGCCTCACTGCTTATCGATAGGTCTTGCTCTCTCGCTTTCTCCTTCTGGATCGTGGTTGGAGCGATGGTGGGTGTTGTTTGTACATTGTTCGACCTGTTGTGTCTCGGTGATGTTTGCTGCTGACAGGCTGATGGATCGTTCCTTGTCGGTGCCAAGTGGATAGCAAGCTTTTGCGAAGATGAGAGACCTCCAGATTACGAAGAACTGTCACTAATCGAATGACACGCTAGCGGTGAATGATTGGATAGTTTGCTTTGCGGCTTGGGTGTCTGCGTGAGGATATAACGATGGATGTAGCAGCGGTCGGCGTCAACGGATAACTTGGGTGGTGTGGAGTGTGTTGGGTGGAATGATTCTAGTAGATGCTTCTTGATGTTCGGGGGTATGGTGCTGAGCTAGTATGTGGAGTCCTGCGTTTCTACCATGCTGCATGTGTGTGAGGGAGAATGTTGGTGGTCGTATCAATAGGAGCAATAGGTGGTTGTAGGATACATCTCCTCTCGTGCGTGGTCTGAGTCGTGGCGTTGAACAGATTTGGTGGATCATTTTTTTTTATACTGTCGAGAAAGTTTTGTGCAATTGGCTCGGGGAGGCTGAAAATTGATAAGATCTATGCTGAGTGAATCGTGGTACAACTGGTATGAGAGGGTGAGTTTGTAGATAACGTCCCTTGTACAGCGTTGCTCGGGTCATTGATCGTTTCCTGTTGATCGTAATAAATTGAGTAAATGAACAGATGTTGGCGGGCGTTCGCGATTTTGAGAGCTGTGTTGCCGGATGTATTGGATGCAATTGTGTAGGATAGGGGTTGTACAACTGTCCACTCGAGGATTGGTTCCCAAGGTGGCGACATACGCATACTTGGTCCCTATTCGGGGATTGATGGGCGTTCTCCTCGGATCATGGGCCGATAATTGTTGGTGGCGGTCGTCGGTGGTGGGACGTGTGTGTCATTGTTTTTACAAATGGTCCATCTGACCGTTTCATTTGTTCATAGTGTGGTCTTCAAATGGACTCTTCCTCTCCCTCATTTTCTTCTCTGATTGATACGTCTCTGAACTCCTTTTCTTCGGTGTTTTTCTTCTCTCTCTTGGTATTTTGTGGTTCTGTCCCCCTTGATGTGCGTGCGATGCTTCCGATCTTCTATATCTCTGGCAGTCTAGAGGTCATTCCTATCGGTTTTTTACCTCCTTTAGATGTTGTCGTCTTCACGTTCTTTATTATTGAAAGCATGATTATATGATTCATCTGCTTGTGCGCCTTTGTGGGTCGCTGAGAATTTGGAATGGACCCTATGGCTGAGGCGGTATGAGGGGAATGCTTTGAATTTGAGAACGTCATATTTCGTGCATGCACTTTATGGATGGACTAGTTGAATCATGTGTGAGCATGTGAGATAATTCGGGATCTCTGGTGGGG